TATGGACATACCTGCCCAGGGTGCACAGGGCTGCCGGGGAAGCACAGCTGACTGAGATACATTCAGTTATCCTGGGGAATTACACACCAACAGCCTAATTCTGACTTATGCCAGTCTCTTCATCTCCTGGGTGGTATAAAGGAGCCCAAATAATCATCAGTCCTTTAGGTGCCACCATGATGCACAACTCCTACACAGACATGCCATCACACAGATTTTTTTTCTTTAATGTGCAAGTTTCCCATATAGCTTCATGCCCCAAACTCCCAACCCCAAGCTGTAGTTCTAGGCTGATTCACCTCAGAGCGACTACTTCTCCCCCATACTGTCCAGCTCTAGCTAAAGCTATGGAAAGACTGAAGCCACAGAGTCAGGGCTGAGCTGCTCTTCCAGAGTTGTCATTTTCTTTGCTTCTAGGGTGGGATTGGTTGTGGCTGAGGGTGAGGGAAATGCTTTCCCTCTTAAGTCTTTGTTGGAAACTGGTATCAGATCATCGCATACAAGTCTTGCAGTTAGGGAACACATTTTCTACCAAATAAGTGATACAACCAGGGTTAACACAACCTTTCTTTGTACAAAGTAAAGGATTTGGGGGCTGAGCTCAAGGTACCTAAAACAGACCCACATGGTGGCTCCTACTGCAGATACTCACTCGGATTTATCTCCATCATTTGTTACCTGCAAGAGATGACCTGTTTGAAAGCAAGTTGTACATACTCTGCTACATCTGAGCGAATGGCCATGTAAGAATCCCTCCTGGCTATTTTACAGATAAAGAAAAATTTGAAAAGAGCTGAAGAAGGAAACTTTAAAGTAGTTGGTTTCAGTTGATTATGTTACAGCGAGTCATTTGGCTCCAGCACCCACGTTTGTGTGCAATAACCCTCAGGTAGATAATAACAGCTAAGACAAGTACCACTGAAAGAGATTAGGAAAAAATAAGCTGTTGTTCACTTTTCTTTAGCACATTGCTTTGTGCCTTGGACAATGGCTGATACATATGGGTAAAAACTCACTCTTGAAAAGCTGGCCACTGCTCTTCCATGATAAGGGGAAGGAGAACATTTACAAATAGGAGACCACATTATAACATCCATAAAAACTAAGTGTGCTGTGTATAGACACCTCTGTAGAGCTAGAGAGTGCATTACACCCAAAGTACTCCTGCGGATGCTTTCATCTGCTGCTTTGTGCTGACAAAATGCAGCTTGTGTGTGGAAATACCTGCTTCTCCCCAAAACCTGTCATTACTCATTAAAGAGCCTGGACCTCATCTATCACCCCATAATACAGTTGAATGTTTGCCATTTTGCCACGTGCACTTGCCCAACTTCTTTCTCCAAGCCAGCAGCAATACCCACTAAGGCAAAGATACAAATTAGGGCCAACCAGGTGTTTCTGCTGATCAGATTAAAGCAGCCAAGCAGTTCCACTCTTAGTTTTCCTTTAGTTCTTTAACCATGGTTAGACATTCTTTGGCAAAGAGACAAAAACCTGCCAACACAGCTCAGAACTACTCTTCAGAGGAAAGGGGCAGGTTTGTAGGCTGTGTTCAGACAACTGCTGCTCTCACCAGGGAAAAGGAGCTGGTTAACCACATGCAGACCCATCCGCTGGGCAAGTGTCAGCTACTGGCACAGCAGGAAACCCAAGGGCTTTTTATGGCAACTCCGATTCAAACCAGAAGCTCAGCAAATAAAAAAGCTCATTTGTGAAACTGCAGTATGTGGAGTTTTCTTTCCCTCATCACAAATCATTGTGTTCATTAACCCTCTGCCTGCCTTCTGCTATTCCAGACCCAGCTCCCATCACAGCCTTCCTGCTGCCTCACTTCCAGGAACCTCTGCATTTCCATGCTACTTAATATATTCTATCACACCCACAGTCAACAAATAAAATGAATAAATAATTCAAGTTTTGTAAGAAATAAAAGGTTAAGTTGTTAAACCCCACTATTATTTACATTTGGATTATTCCATGGGCTTGTTTCCAACACTGGCACTACTTCATTTCCAGAGGAACACAGAGGCCTCACCTTGCATTAGCAGCTACATCCCATCACCATCCCGCCTGGCTCTGGAGGCGTGTGTGCCTCTGCCCCAGCAGCCTTTGAGTGCACCTCTGAATTCAAATCTGTGAGCTGTGCCAGGATTTTATATTATTTTTTCTCCATTAGGAGTTACTCTGCTAGAAGACTTGTTCAGGGACAAATCAACCCCTTCTCCTTACCTATGGTAACCCAGGCTGCTGCAGCATGGAAACAGGACATCCATAAATCTGTGCTGGGCTTTGTCCCCAGGCAGCTTGGCAGCTGTGTCCCAGCCTGGCACGCCTTTGCCCGTGCATCAGATGACACCCTATGAGCACTACCACAGGCAAACCTTCCTTGGAGCAGTGCCTCCAGGACCTCATGCCCCCCCTCTGTACCCCAGCCCCTGTCCAATGCCTGCCCCGTCTCCTGCCAAAATGGTGAGGAGCTATGGGAGGGCACCAGAAGAGGCACAGCCTCTCAGATACAGGATTGTAACTATCTATTCCAAGTCAGTGATCTGCTGGCCATTCAGTTCTGCCACCAGAAACCACCTTAGTACCACTTAACCCAACATCTCCTTCTAACAGCTCAACGATCTCTACCTGTTCTTGCTGTTTTCAGACCCTTCAGCTATGTACTCGGTTTACAGGTGTATCATCTGCAGCTGGTTCGAGCTGGCCTGGACACACCTGATGCAGAATCAGGTCATTGGCTGAACCAGCCTTGTGATCTCACACAGTTTGCTTTCCATCTACAAGGACAACCACCAACCAAGGTTTGAAACCTCTTCACACCTTTGACCTTCAGTCATCAAGCCTTGAGTAACTATTGCTTGTTTCATACTCCTTTCTCTGATTCCCTAAGATTAAAGGTGGCAAGCTGTTGGGAGAGCAGGAATTTGGAGGAGGGTGATGCTATTTCCAGACCACTGGTTGTTGCTGGGTTTGTTGCCAGGTTAGGTAACCCCAAAGATCACAACTCTAACAGTAATGACGTGCATAAACTGAAACACTGTTGTGTCACCCACGTTTGCCATCCATCAGGTATTGCATCTTCCCCTTTAAAAAGCCTTGATGGACAGAGACAGGCAGATCTTCAAAGAACTTAACAGTCCCTTAAGATTTTTGGTGGGAAATAGGAACACAAATGCTTTTACACACATGGGTCTTGATGTGTCAGGAGCAAGCCATCGGTGTCTCTGGCCCTTACCTCTCCCTTCCCAGCTCCATCTGCCTCAGGTTGCTAAAAACATCCATAACTCTGGCTGAAAGAGATTTCCAAAGAGGAGCAGGCTAGGGGGTGGGGTGGGGGTGTCTACCTAAAAAATGAGGTTGATGAAAGCAGAACTAAGTGCAAGGAGACTGACTCATACTTATTTACATTTTTGACAGAAAGCTCTGTGAGTCATGCACATTTTGACTTCTCAAACCTCATATGCACTGTCTTCTGTGCCAGAGTAATCCTCCTTTTAGAAAAAAACGTATTCCATACTGTGCTGCAAATCAGAGCAGGACATTTGCCTGCTCTGATACCTTCAGGGTTTGCCCTGCTGTCCTTCACATGGCAGCAGTATGAGCTGGCTGCTCTGTCACTGTATTCTCTGAAGCAGTGAATGCATCAGCCTCTCAGAACTGGCAGACATTGTTCCAAAGACTTGATTTGCTTCATTTTGGCATTTCCACAGTCATCCTTTACATATAATTTATTTTTTTTAAATTTAAAATTATTATTTTGTATTTTGCTGGTCACTTCCATATTGCTTCATTCAAAATCCAGAAAACAGTTCAAATAAAATCAGAGCTTAAGTGCAAACTAACTTTCCAGTGAACTGCTATGTGCGTTTTCTCCGGTCCAGTGTCTGTCTTCCAGTTTAAAGGACCCTTCCCACCACCACCCCACAGAACACCCAGCAGATTCCATGACCTCTATCAAACTCTCCAGTTCTCCATCTTGTCCTCAGTGTTGCCTCACAGCATCCCCAAGTCCCTTCATGAGGAAGAAAATGAGGGAAGAATTAGTGTAGGTCTTTTGGGGTGTTTATAGTCAGCAGGTATAAAACAGGAAAGCAAAGCTTTTGACATACAAATCTTGGTTTCTCAGCCTGGTTTTTAGCTTCAAAAAGAACATGTTGGAGGCCTGGCTTTGTTACTCTCTTCTGCAAGGGGTTTTGTGTTTCAAGTGTTTGTCGTGTTGGCACATAAACAAAAATGATGGTGTCATGTACCAGTTCTGAGCGGGAGTGTCTGTGGTTGGGAATTGGCACAAAATCATGGTGTGGCTCAGAAGAAGGGTTTAGCTGTATATGGGAGTCACATCATCATTTCTTGGAAAGCCACAATGAAGATCTGAATGTTTATGAAAAGCCACGTTAGCCATTTTCAGTTGCTGGGATAGAAAGTGTTAGAGAAAGAAATTGGATTCTCAATCTCAATTACTATGCTATCACACAGGATATAAAAATTGTCCATTTTTCACCCTGATGGAAACTGCATGGAGATTTCCAGGAATGCTGTACAGACTCTCATCAGTTCCTGCCGAAAGAATCAGCCTCTCTGTGGCTTTCCTTACAGTGTCTGGCTGAATGACTGAGAACGAGCTTGACAGCAGGCAACACTGCCACTGGCCTTTCCTGCTACCAACTGGCTGCTCGGAGTGTCCGACCCGCTGGATCTGCGGAGAGTGAGAAATGCCAGGCTGTACATGCCTTCTTTCAGTCTCTTTTATTCCTTCCTTCCAGGATCCCAACCCAATCTGCAACCAACTCCAAGACATCCTTTCACTTAGAAATATCAAAAATGGGTGAACTGGCAAGAAGAGGAAGCTCGTGGGAGAAAGACAGGGAGGAAAGGAGGAAGAAAGGGTGGGGTGGAAGGGAAGGAGGACAGGGAGAGAGAGAAAAGGAAAGCAAGAAAGAAAGAGTGAGGCAGCTAGAAGGGGTTGCCTTTCCACTTCTGTGAGACCACAGCCACTACACCACTGTGTTTCGGTGTCTGTAGGGCGGCGGGGGCAGCACAGTGCCAGGCTTCAGGGAGAACTCGGAGAGGTATTCAGGATTCTCTGCCACAATGGGCCGGATCCGTCCATTCTGTTTGTAAAAGTATTTTGTGCTGTACTCTTGCAGGTAGTCCGGGTGCTGGAGAGTGCTTCGTGGGGGCAGGCTGTGGTTCCAGTAGTCTGGGTTGTCAAAGGCCTTCTTGGCTTTCTCTGGCAAATTGTTCTTCAGGTACTCAGCATTTTCCAAGGTGTTTGCAAAAGTGTTGAGGTACAATGGCTCATTTACGTACTCATCCTCTGCTTTGGGCTGCCCGTTCGGAGCGTTGTGGTACTCTGGGTTGTCCACGGCTTGGAGATCTCCATTCTTTCGTCGGGAAACAAATGGGTTCTCTTCCACTGGGTTCAGGTAATCTAAGGGAAGATAAAAATAAATCAGCCAAGACAGGGAGTAATCCATTCATGTAACAACTGTCACATGATCAGAAGTAGCGCTTGGACTAGTGTAACCTCCATACCAGACATTCCTAGAACTCCAGATGGGCTCAGAAGCCAATTGTGTTGAATGCACACTTGCAAAAAGTAAAGAATTTACAAATTAACAGGCAATATGGGTTAAAACTGAGATCTTGGAAGACAAACTGATTCATCAAACCCACTGGTCAACTAAACTACAGCTTCCACTGAGCCATAGCCCATGTACTATCCTGGACTTCTCACCATATGATCTACAGAGCCAAACACAACCAACTGACTTCTGCCTCTGCTGCTGACTCTCTGTGCAACCTTGGACCCATCAGCAAACCCTCTGCTCTGCAGTCTTTCCATCCAGAAAACTCTATAGAAATCTTAGTTAAGCCTCTCTGCACAAAACCCATCCCCGAGGGCTAACTTCCAAGACAGCTTCATTTCTAACAGAACAATTTGCCTGATTAAAAACCTTCCATCCCTGAAGGACAAAGGGCCTCGAAGTATAATGAAAAAAATTATTCAAATGAGCCCTGGAAAGAGTATGAGTGAGCCTTACATCAGCTCCACAACAGGACTTGGAGCAGGTTACTGTTGCTGCAGATGACTTGCTGTGGATTAACACAAAAAAAAAATTGTAGCTGAATTGCAGAAAGGTTTTAAGGCATATGGAGCTTGCATGAAAAGCCAGATAGGAGGTGGGGAGGGAAGAGAAATGTAAGAGGTTGGCTGTCCTGGGTTAAATGTGCTTAACTAAGTGCTCTCCCATGGTCACAGGTCACAGAACAGTGGATTCCTCGAGTGCCATGTCCTGCACTGTGTGTGATGAGGTCTCCCTGCAGGACAGAAAGTCTCAATCAGCCTGGGCAGTGGGAGGTCACGCACACTTGCAAGTGTGCTGCAAAGGGAATGGCTTGGACATTGGCATGGACACAGGGACAAGAGTGACTGGGGGTGGGAGCCCCACAGCAAGGTATGTCAAAGCATCCAGTTTACTCAAGGCTGGAAATGACCAGAACAAATCCACTTCCAGTATCAATTCTGCCTTTCACCTCCTTACAAACCAGGTTCTCCATGCCACATCCATGAGTGAGGGATGGTCTCAGCCTGCCTGTGCCACACAGGATGCCAACACAAGACCTCCATTCCCAGCAGCACAGTGCTGGTCAAGGGCTCTTCAGACACCTCCACACAGAGTCCTGCCAGGCCCTGCCTTTTGGCACAAGGTGGTCATGGTCCTCACTTCAGCTCTGGTTTTAACCAGGACAGGGCTGAAGCTATTGAAGGCAAAAGTTCAGGACCCAGTGAATACCTTTGAACACGCAGCTAAAATGCCACTGAATTTGAGGCGAAAAGGCACATGTGCCTGCACCAAAAGCATAGTGGAAACATATACTATTTAGCAGTGACAGCCAAGCAGTGCTTTGATTTGCACCCTGCAGCTGACAGAGAGCACACAGCACGTGGCCACAATATGATAACCCTGGCATCTGTGTCCAGAGAGTCAGGAAGGAGGTGCTTTCTCCTGAGCTGCTACTGCCACATCCCCGAGGGCTCAGGTAGCACCCGATCCTGCAGAACTCTGGGGTGCACCTGTATGTCAACATGTGTGTGGGCTCACATGCTCCCTGCAAAGGAGGTTGCTGAAGTGCAGGGCCATGAGTGCACTCCCACAATTGCTACTGCCTTGGGTCAAGTCCCAGGGCTCCCTCCATTCCCACCATGTAACGCAAAGGATAAGTGGCTTCCAGATTCTTAGCAAACACACTAGTGACTTGGCATTTACATTTGCATTAATTAATTTCTTCAAAGCTAATGCAAAGGTTTGAAAGCAAATTAGTAATGACACATCCCCTTACATCTAAATGACTGCTGTCACTATTTAAAAAGGAAGGAATGGATGATGGCAAACTGGGAAGTGCAGAGCGCTGAGCTGGCACAGATCAAGGCAATCTTCACCTTGCAGTGATGGTCTCTCTAAAGCACATCTTGTTCTTTCAATCCTAAACTCCTCTTGGGTATAAAATGCCAACTGTGTGTATTGGTTCTGTGATAGGTTCAAGATGACATTTACCAAGCACAATGCCATGAAAATAAAGAAGATCAATAAGCAAAGCAAAGTGGGGACTATGCCTGGCCAAAGATAGATCCTTTTCTTGGAAGTAACTCAAGATTTGTGTTTGGATAAGAAGGGCTATGGCTTTTTTTCCATTCGTCTCATTATTTCCCAGAAAAAAAAAAGTGAAAGGAGGAATTACTAAACTTGGCATATTGGCACATTTGAGCTATTTAAGTAGAAAATTGAGGAAAGAAGACCAAATCCGCATTCAAAGAACTATTAACCTAGTCAGAATATTTCAACCTTGCTGGGTAACTAAAACCATTTTTGGTGAAAAGCTGCTGATGTACAAAGAGAGAGAGAGTGCAGACAGACTAGACCAGGAGCTTCTCTGGAAAAACAATTGTTTACCTGTTTTAGGTTTGTCTCGCATTGGTGTCATGTACCCATCCTCATCCAGTTCTCCGCGGACGACCCGCTCGGGTATGAAGACCGTGGGATCAGCGCTGTACCTCTGGGTGCTGCTGTCCTCTTTTGCCAGGGTTGCCACTTGCTTTCGCAGTGTGCCATTACAGCAAGTGTCTTCAAAGATCTCTGCCGTGGCCCCTTGAGCAACTGGGGCTTCTGGTATTATGCAGCCTGGAGCTCTGTATGGCATTGGCACCTCAGCAGTGTAGCCACCATCTCGGTACACAAACTGGTTCTGTTGGAAAAGAGAAGACAGTATGGGAAAGGAGGCTCCCAAGGGGAGAAGTTTCAACAGCAAGTTATCACTGTGGCTTCTGTGCCTTTCCTGCCACACTTGCTCAGTGCTGTGTTTCACTGAGCGGGTGAAGCCTTGTCCATCCTGCACTTCCAGCACTATGGGATCACCAGCAGCACAGGCTCTGTTCTGGACCAGCAAACCATCTGTCTGCCCAGTGATGCTCAATGCTGGAAAGGGGGCTAGAAATGGGGCAGGAGAACTTGTCTCCTACTAGGCATGTGGAGGTTGGATATACACAGCTGCAAGAGGCAGAGTATCTCCTCTTTTATTACTCTGGCAACCTCCCCTGATTTCTGACCAAAACCCTTAAACCTCATGTTAGGGAAAACTCCTTCTGACTGGGGATAGAGGCTGTTATTATCTCTGAACTCTGTTAATTCTTGGGGGACATACAGGGTGTCCTGAGATGAGAATGACAGTCACCCACACCCTGTATAAGTCTGTCAGGAAGTGCATTTCAGACTGGTGAACTGTGTTTGTATTGGCTCCTCAACTCAATGGTTTGAGTCAACCTACCATTTTGCTTGTCAGCAAGAGCCTGCAAGGAGATTTCAACATCATGACCCAGAGGTGGGAAGGGAAAATGTACAGATTCATCCAAGCCTGTTACTTCAATGCTTTTTCAAGAAAAGTTGGCTTGGGTGTGAGTCCATAGAGTTTGCACACAAGTCCAGTCTGAGTGTGGAGATCTTGACTATATGACTGCTTATATATACACTTCATTCCCTGTTGGCTTTATGCAGGAAAAAAAGGGGGTTGAAACAGAAAATACATAGTGAAGGAAGAAGGAAAACCTAAAGGATGAAGGCTGAATGTCAAATACTTACTCCTGACATAGGGGTGTAGGCAGGAGGAGGGCTGTGTCCGATTTCACTCTAATAGGAAAGAAAAATGGATGATGGATACATAACAAGAGGTCACATGAATGAAACAAGTCACATGAGCCATATGAGCTAATGGGGAGAAACATGCACATCAGTCAGATTTCCTAACTGGATCCAAAATTTAAAGAATTCAATCATGGCAAATGTCTCACCCCTAGCTGTGTGCCTCAACAGTCTTAGGAAGAGCTACTGATCACACCATAAGTGAAGGCCCTAACAGAAGAAGGAACAGAAGACACTTTACCGGAGGTTCCTTTTTTAAAGGAACAGACATGAGTACACAGCTGGATACAGACTGTGCAGTGAGCCTGTAACTTGGCAGTCCTGTGCAAAAGGCTTGTTTGGGACATTTGGGAAGGTCCCTTCAATCAACCAACACCTCAGAAAACAGAGAAGTTCTGATTTCAGATGTCAAATTCCCTCAGAACTCCGTAGAGATTTATAGTCCACTTATAATGACACATGGGCAGTGACAGGTTACAATACAGAATGTGTTAGACAAATGGACAAAAAACCATCCCCGGAGCCTGCCAGATGCTACTTGGAAGCCCTACAGATGGCTACAAGACACTGCACTGCAGAGAACTTAACCTGCCTTTGCCTTGCCCTCTGATCTCATATTTACTGTAATTCAGGCCAGCTTTCCAACTACTCCTAAAAGATGGAGAAGACTGAAGACAGGTAAGTAGTAAACAATGGTCCATGGAAGGTGGTGAACTTTTATGCAAACTGATGATTACAGGTAGGATCCAGAGAAGGAATACAAAGTGGAATCTAGAGAGAGTTGACTCTCATAACAGCGAGGAATCCAAAGCTGTGTTGGGAATCCTCTACCCTCCTTGTAAAGCTCTCAACAGCCTTCCCGTGCACCTGCAGGCCATGAGACTGAAGAGGGGGTTTCCTTCCTTTGTCTTCCAAGGTGGCTGCAGCCCACCAGACTGCAGCAGTGAAAAGAGCTGTGGCAATGCTCTATTAGTGCTATGTACAGGGGATTGGAGTTGGCTACTGGCTGCTATTCACAGACACTAAAGCAGTGACTGTAAGCACTCCTTTCCTATCCTGTACTACACCATGCTGTGTTACACACCTTTCATTTACATCTCTATTTTCACACAGGCAGTCCCATGAACTTCCACTTGTGCTTCATTGATCCTGGCTGAAGAAAGACAGAGCTGTCTTGAAGTCCTTTCAGTTCACAGCTCTCAGTGTTCTCTTAGGGTAACTTAGAAAAGCAAGTATTTTGTCAACAGGCTTGACTTTGCACACAGGGCTGTGCTCCTCTGCACCAGTAAATGTTTAGATGATTAGCAGCAGCTTACAAAAGCACTGTTAGAATGGCCACATTATGTGTCTGTGGGCATACATTGCTCCATCCTCAGCCCACAAGGCTAAACCCACCATTTCATCTTTGAATCTTCTTGGCTGTGACTCTAACATTTAAATACACACTCTGCAACTCTAACAACATAATAACAGACCCTCTTAGCATAGCCTTGTCCCAAGATGTGAGGAGTGAATGGACTGGCATTAATGCATTTATTGCTATTTTTGCTGACAAGACCCTTCCCAGTCAGTGATCTGCCAACTAAGATCACAATAACAGTGGTTTTTCATGCCTCCCCTTTAGCTCTGTACTAAACATAGCTGTCTTGCAACACCCCTAACACAGAACCTTACACATGGCTTTTCTCCAAACCACTGCTGTCTGCATGTTTTTTTACTTCTTTACTGCTTTTCCCCATGAGTTAATACCCTGTGGCCACTGTTCTATGAAAAAGGAGGCAAAGAAAACAGCTGTGGTGCCATTTAGTAGGGCTGAAAATGTAATATAATTGTTTAAATGTCCTTAAATTGCTTGCTAATTGCAATCTGAGGTCACAATTTTGTAGGCTTCCAAGATAACTACCCCCAGACAAATCTTACTGGTTAGGACATGAATCACACTGTAAGAAGAAAATAGATTTGAATTTGACCAGGTAAAACTTAAATAGCTTGTTTTGTATGTGCAGTCCAATTTATTTTGTTGATGATTTTTTGGGGTTGTTGCTTTTGCATCTTAAATACCATCTTGAAAAAAAAAAGAGCTGATGTTCTTTTGCTGAGAAGCTCTAGGTTTTTTGATTTCCAGTCCTGAAAATCTCACCTGAATTATCATCTCTAGCTTGTTGAGATGGGCAGAGATTCAGAGGCTGGTTGCTCAAAGAGCTCGCCACATCAGTCTACTCAAAAAGTCTCAACTTGCATACTAAAAAAAATAAAATAAAATAAATCAATAATCCCTTGCCTTTGATAGTCTAATATGTGTTATATCCCTTAGTTGTGGAGAGCACACATCCATGGACACTGAAACTCTCAGCATGTTCCAGAAGGAACCTCTCTTTTTTAACTCCCCATGAGCAGCCCTCAACAGAAATGCCCAAGATTTCATTCTTTATACCATATGATTGAATTTTAGGCAAAAATATGACAAGAGGGAGAAATGATGAAACCCAAGAAAATGTACCCTAAAGTCTTTTCAGAGGCCCTCTGGTATGAAATACCAGTGACACACATCAGCTATTATGACTGCTAACGTTTGTGTAAAATGAGCCTTGATAAAAGAGCAGTAAATAACACTTTTGTGAATATTGGCTTGTGTTATTGCTTTCTATTCATTAATTTCATTTTCCAATTCCTTGCTTCTAAAATCTCCCAAAGGTAAATATCTCCTCCTTTATAGCAGGGACATAATATTTTCTGGCTGCGTGTTAAACTGTAATGAAATCAAAGCCTCGTTGGGTCCTGCCACTCATATTTATGTAGCTCTGTGAATATGCCTCTGCCTTGTCTCTTTTCATTTGGGCCTAGTGTCATGCCTGAGCATGGCATCCAGAGCTATGCTCCTTCTGCTGCCTGTGCCATAGCTCATCCCACCCCAGCTGACCACAGGTGCCTTCAGAGCTGCACCCACAGCATGTTTTCAGGTGGAAGAAATGCTGAAGATACTCAGTGATGTGGTGCTGCTGTGGGGCTGTGAGTGGTATAGGGCTATCTGCAAACAGAAATAAACAAAGCTTTACTTACAGCATGATCTGGGAACCCCAAGCTCTGCTGGCTAGCACAGACTCCCAACAGCCCCCGTGCTGCTGCAGAGCTGGTTTTCCTTGTCACCCATCAAGATGTTCACACACATTTGATAGGGTTGCATAATTATTGCTGTTTCTTGTTCTGAAGCAGCCTGCTAAGATCACGGGACTGAAAGATTTTTCTTCACTAAAGGCAAGGCAACATCAATGTACTCATATGCACACATTTGAACCTATTCTGATGCTGCTCCTATCTGTATGAAACCCAACTCCCTTTTGCTCTCCCGCAAAAAGCACCAAACCATAAAGCAGGAGCAAAACACTTCCACCTTCTCACTGGGATGCTCCTCACTGTTCAGGGGCATCTCATGGTCCATGCCTCAGGCAACTCAATGATTATCTGTTTAGATCAAGTTCTGAAACACTTCTTTGTACCAGTTCAGTTCTGGGTTCTGTGCTCCTAGAAAGAACTCCCTTTCCTCCTTCCCCTGGAAATTGTTTGCCTGATTTCAAACCAAGGAAGGATCCAGGCTCAAGTCACCAAAGTGCAGCATTCAGAGGACACCAGGCTGAGCAGATCTTGCTGGAAGCACTAAAATTCCAGCAGTACTCTAGGAAGGACAGATGATTTATGTGAGTGGATCGGAATAACGTCTAGGATGCTCTGGTGGGGCTGCAGGCAGAGCACACAACACAGAGCTGTCCCGCCAGCCCTGAGCAAATTCCAGCTATGTTCCAAGGGAGCAGCCTGGTATTTACAACTGATCTGAACTGAAATTCAAATATGAAAGACCACCCCAGGAGAACATCCACCTCTGCTCAGGCGCAGTTCTACTTCCCTCTGACCACAGAACTAACAGCTTACCCTGCCCTGCTCTAGACAGCCCCCAGCAAACAAGTCTGAGACGAAAATCAAAGGGAAGAAAAAACGTGCACCAGGAGATTGCTGTGTGATGCTAAACAGAAGTGAAATGCTGTTTGTATAGTAATAGCTAGAAGGCTTTGCAGACCTCTGGGGGTTTCTGGTCCCAGCCCCTGCACAGAGCAGGGCTGCATATAAAAAGAAATGTTTACACACCTCCCTGGGCCATTACAGGTCAAGCATATCTGTCCCTACAGCTCGTAGCACATGATACAAGTCTGGCATTCCTCATGCTCTCTCTTCTGTTCAGCCTGGGCTCCTGACCTTGTTTAAGGAAACTCCATTGCCCACTGGGACTTTCCTCCAGGACTGTGGAGAAAAGTTCCCATCAGCATCATTGCCAAGTATCATGTCTTGACAGGTGCAGGTCATTGCTGGCATCCTGCAGCATTTCAGGTCACAGAAAAACAATCACAGTGTGCTGGAGATATACATCCTCTGAAACTGGTTTGGGATGTGTGTTTCTTCACCTCTTACATCACCTATTCCAGACACACAAGCAGCAGTGTGGTCCACCTGAGTTAATATAACAAGACAGGACATACATTTTTCCACAGAGAGACTATTATTCAACAACAAAAATAAAAGGCAGGAATAACACACACAGGTTGTGGGCAGTAGCTAAGCAACTATTTACCATTCCCCTAGTTCAGTGGCCATAAAGACCCATCTGGGATCAATGAATCTTTATGGGATACGATGACATCCTAGTCCCTCTTCCAGCATTACCCTTTCTCAGGATGCGTCTGCACATTTTACCATGAATGTTGATCACAAGTATAGAAAACAATGTAAGCACTGTCCTGTGTTAAGTGTTTGCTCCGGTCTCTAACAACTGCTTCTTCTACAATCAAGACACAAAACATCCAGTTTATATCAGTGAGGGAAAAGAATAAATAGAAGAAACAATGAATAAGTCTTTTCTGTACCTGAGTGTTTTCTGGTTGTTGTGAGCCTGAGGACAGGTAAGGTTTGCAGGCAGCCTGAGCTCTAACTGAGTTCCT